GAGGGTCCTGCTCCCAGCTCAGAGTCCCTGGAACGAGAGGGCAGCATGCTCACGCCTGCACTGCCTGATGGCTCCTCACACGGGCCCTGGCTCTCCGAGATGCCACCCGCCTGCCCCACCACTCCCACCACGTTCCCAGCACCTACCCAGGCTGACCACCTCGGCCACCACCCCGTCCCCGATCCCACACGCCCACCTCCCTCCACGGGCTTGTTCCAAGCACCCAGACACCCGTTCTGGAGCATGTCAGCAGGCGCAGAACCCTTGGGGTCCCCGGGCCTGGAGGCAGGAGCAGCCAAGCAGACTCCCAGGTCAGGAGGAGGGCTGCACCCCGCTTCCCACCCTGGACTCTGCGCCCCACCATAAGCCAATACAGCCCGCCCCGGAGGGGCATCTTGGTGACAACCCTCACCGAATGTGCCATCCCTCCTGCCTGCCTCCCCGCCCCGTCCCATCCCATCTTGGCGCTGCTTCCTGCACCCGAGTCCACGCTCCACACTCGCCGTGATGGCCAGGCGACCTCCCTACCACAGCCCCGGCCACCACTTCTGCCGTAAGTCCGCTGGTGTTTCTCTGCAGCCGGCATACAGGGTCCCCTCACTGGCTTGACGGCACGGACAGACCTTCCCACGGAGGCCCGTCCACCTCCCCAGGCGGTGTGCTGCTGGGCCACCATGGGTGCAGCATTCTTGCAGGCCCCAGGCCTCTGCACCTGCTCATGATTTGCTGGGGACGCTGTCCCCACTGAGTGTACCCGGAACCTCTGCGCCCGTCCACTCCATACCCAGCCAGGGAGCCTTTCTGGATTCCTGGAAGCTCCTATCCTCCAAGCCGTGCCCTCCCTCAGCCTCTGTCACCAGTCCTAGGAAAGCCCCTCGGGGTGTCCCCTGCCCGGGCTGTGAGCTGGACAGGACAGGAGCTCCCAGAGCCCACATCCGGGGTCTCCGTCCATGAGCTCAGCTGCCTTCCTTGCAGCTTTATTTTCTAGAGAAGCCGAGGGTGGCTTGGAGCTGGGTCCCCAGACAAATGTGCCCCGAACACTGAGGGACCGGAGGCTCATGGAGGGCGAGGACCCGCCTGGCACCACGCAGCCCGCTGGGGAGGAGGGCGACGTCAGAAGCCGCCCAGGCAATGCCTAGTGCTGAACACGCCCATGCGCACTGGTTGGGCCCTGTCTCCTCCATCAGACCGGGACCCCTCCATCTGATCACAGCCGTGGCCCCAGACCCTGAGTGGGGACCCCCAGGCAAGTGTGGAGGTCCCCTAGGGACCACTGCCCCAATGCAGCTCCCATGGAGCTTTCTTGTCCTGCCACTCAGAGCTGGCAGCGCACCTGCGCGGCCTGGCGGGAGCCCTGAGACCCCAGCGTCCCTGCAGCTCAGGGCACCTGTCCTGGCTTTGCCCGGTTTGAGCAGGGCCCCAGGCCCACAGGCAGGACCACACTTCGGGAAGTAAGGGGCCTGGAAGCCCTCCCACAGGGCCAGTCTCCTTCCCCAGGCCCCAGGGCAGCAGCCCCCATTCTGTGAGCGAGCCAGGCGGTCCTGAAGCTTCTCCTGCAGAGAGAAGCGAAGCCGCCGCCCGCCGCAGGGGCGGGAGGCAGGTGCAGGAGGCAGCCACGCGCTGGGGCTTCTCCCTGCTCAGGGGGGAGCGTCCCTCGTCCCTCCGCCATTGGCTCCCGCGCGGAGTGGCCTTTGCTCTTTCCGTGGTCGGCGGGTATAAGAGCCGGCCGCGCAGGGCTCGCTGCAGAGCAGGGGCGGAGTCCGGTCCCCAGGCGGGACCCAGGTGTCCTGTGCTCCCCCAGGTGTCCACGCAGGTGCGCGCCCAGGCAGGGGCCGCAGCCAGCAGGGGCGCACTGTGTATCGCCCGCGGGGTCCCCTCAGCCCGGCAGGACCCCGGCCCGGCGGCCCAGGGCGATGGCGGGCGAACTGCGCCGCCTCCTGAGGCTGCACCGCACGGAGATCGCCATGGCCGTGGACAGCGCCTTCCCGCTGCTGCACGCGCTGGCCGACCACGACGTGGTCCCCGAGGACAAGTTCCAGGTGCAGCCCGCCCGCAGGCCTGCAGACCTCCACTCCCTCTCCCCACAAGCAGGGGCAACCCCGAAACGAGCTCCAGGCAGCCCCCCATCCAGACACCCCTGCCTTTTCCCCACCCCCAAGGAGCCAGGGGATGGTCCCTGAGGACAAGTTGGCCCCTTGCCCCAACCCCCCACACCTCACCCTCAGCCAAGGGGAGGGTCTCCAGGAAGAGTTCCAGGTGGACCACCCCCCCACCTGCGGGGACCTGGTGGGGGTGAGGGGCCGTGCTGGGGTCAGGTAGACACTGTGGGGGAGGGGAGGAGCTGCCGGGACCCAGGCCTTGGGGTGGAAGGAGGATCCTGTCCCAGCGTCTCTGCGTGGGGTTCTGTCTGCTTTGGAGGGGAGGATGGGCCCTGGGGGTCCCCTGCAGGGGGGCCTTCCTCGAGGCCTGTGGTCCAGGCCCACATCCCAGCATGGGACGCCCAGTGCTCCCAGATCCCCTCTGTCCACGTGGATAGGTCAGGGGGTCATCATTAGAAAGTTCTGCTTTGCTGCTTGTCCCCCCTGGGGCGCCTGCTCTCTCCGACCAGGACATGCCTACGCCACCCCCACGACCCCCACCCACAAGTGGCAGGGATGGGCACAGAGGCGCCAGGTCCACTGCAGCCCGTCTGGGTGGGCTCCACCCTGTCGCCTGGTGGTGGGAACTGGGAGGCAGCGGGACTGGGAAGGTGGCAGGGCCCCCAATGCCGCGTTGCTGCAGGAGACGCTGCGCCTGAAGGAGAAGGAGGGCTGCCCCCAGGCCGTCCACGCCCTCCTCTCCTGGCTCCTCACCCAGGACTCGGCCGCCATCCTGGACTTCTGGAGGGTTCTCTTCAAGGACTACAACCTCGAGAGATATGGCCGGCTGCAGCCCATCCTAGACAGCTTCCCCAAAGGTGGGGGAGCCGGGCTGGGCTGTAACCCTAGGTGGGTGTTGGGGAGCCCCTGGGAGATCCCCCAGGACCTCTTGGATTTTAAGAGGCAGAGGGCGAGGCCTGGCCTGCCCTGCCCCCAGAGTGTCCAGTTCTGGGGCCACTCCCCAGGGAAGAGCTCTGAGGACTCTGAGGCTGGGACCTGCCTCTGCCCCCTAATCTGCAGATGTGGACCTCAGCCAGCCCCGGAAGGGCAGGAAGCCCCCTTCTGGCCCCAAGGCCTCAGTGCTGCCGCCCAAACCCCCCACCAAGAGAAAGGCCCCAGAAGAGCCTCGAGCTGTCCCACCAGCGGCCCTGACCCCAAGGGGAACCTCTAGCCCAGGTACTCAGTGGAAGGAGCGGCTGGGGTCACCCGTCTTCCCCAGGTGTCCGACACCCCCACACCCAGGCTCCCACCCGCCTGGGCACAGCCTGTCTGGGGCTCAGAGGCCCCTCTGGGCACTGAGGACCCCCTGGACCAGTCTACAGCCTCTCGGTCCTTCCTGCTCCGAAGGCTGAGCTCCGCGGGGTCCGGGGAACAGTCAGGGGTGTTTTATTTCTTTTTCACCGATGAGAAAACCAGAGCCCAGGAAAGCAAAGGAACCCACCAGGGTCAGGGAGACCCAGCACCTGACACCCCCAAGTGCCCACCCAGCCCACTGGCCCCCCAGCACTTGTCCCCCCGAGACAGGAGGGCCACACTGCCCCACCTTCCCCCTTCAGGCTCCCAACCGAAGGCCAAGCCCCCCAAGAAGCCGGAGAGCAACACAGAGCCGCATCGCCTCCCACTGGGAAACGGTGAGCCGGGTGCCGGCCTTGGCCGGGTGAGGGTCAGGGTCAGGGTCGGAGGAGGGCCTGCCCTCGGCCTGTCCTGGGAGCTGGGACCGCATGGGCCTGGCAGCTCATCCTAGTAGCCTCAGCTGCACTGCCAGACCCAGGAAAGAGGGGCACCCATGTCCAAAGGGGATCTTGCCAGTCCCCCGCACCCTGCCCCACGCCACAGCCTGGGTCTGCACCCCTCTAGGCCGCACCTCTGCCCATCCAAGCGCTCCCACCCTTCGGGACCAGCCCAGACACTGCTTCCTCCAGAAAATCGTCCTTGCCCCTCATCTGGGTGCAGCCTGGACTCTGTCCCCTCCCCCTTCCCAGGGCCCTGGACCCCGGAGGCCTCCTGTGCTTGCTGGTGCCTGCCCTGAAGGCAGGGCCTGGGGACTGTGTATCCTCCCAGCACAACCCAGGGCCCCGGGCATTCCCACCCACCGAGTCAGCTCTGCTGACACTACCCCCCACACACATGCACACACACACACACACACACACACACACACACACACCACGTGTGCGCAGGCAAGGGGCTGTCTCTGCACCTACCTGTGGCTGTCTGTGTGTGGTGGAGCTGGGTCCCCATCCCGCCTGCCCCGCTGCAGGGAAAGAGCCCCACAGCCCAGGCACTGCCTGCTCCCTGGGAGTGACCTCAATGATGGGTGACCTCTGTCCTTTTCCCAGGGATCCAGACCATGTCAGCTTCAGTCCAGAGAGCTGTGGCTGTGTCCTCTGGGGATGTGCCGGGGGCCCGAGGGGCCGTGGAGGGGATCCTCATCCAGCAGGTGTTTGAGTCAGGTAGACAGTGTGGGGGAGGGGAGGAGCTGCCGGGACCCAGGCCTTGGGGGTGGAAGGAGGACCGGTCCCAGCGTCTCTGCATGGGGTTCTGCCTGCTTTAGAGGGGAGGGCGGGCCCTGGGGGTCCCCTGCAGGGGGGCCTTCCTCGAGGCCTGTGGTCCAGGCCCACATCCCAGCACGGGACGCCCAGTGCTCCCAGATCCCCTCATCCACCTGGGTGGGCCCTACTGGGTCACGGGGTCGTCCTTAGAAAGTTCTGCTTTGCTGCCTGGCCCCTGGGGCGCCTGCACTCTCAGACCAGGACGGGCCTGCGGCATCCCGCCTCTTCCCCCCCTCCCCGGCACCTCCCTCCAGGTGCCTCCTGTGATAAGGGTCCAGTCCCCTCACACCCTGGCCAGGGGCAGCCCTGGGAGCCCACCTACAGGGTGGGCCAGCCACTGACGGCACGCAGCCACCCTGTGCCACCTCACCCCCTTTGCCGTTGAGTCATTTGCTCCACGGTCCCTGCCATAGTGTCCCCTCTGTGCTGAATGCTGGCTGGGGACACCGAGGACAGCCAGGCCCAGCCTGGGAGCTCATGCGGACCTGGGTCTCACCCCTTCGGGGATGGTCCCAAGTCCCCTGTGTTAGCTTCCTGGGATTCTTATACCAAATTGGCACAGACCGGGTGACTTAAAACAACAGAAATTCCAAACTCGAGTGTCCGCTGGCTCCCTCGGGGGCCCCAGGGAAGGGTCCTTCCTACCTCCTGCGGCTTCTGGTGGCTGCTGACAGCTCAGTCCTCCGATTTGGGGTCCGACATGACCCCATCTTAGCTAACTACATCTACAAAGACGCTACTTCTAAACGAGTTCGCATTCTGAGGTTCTGGGTAGATGCGCATGTTGAGGACACTTCCCCCCAGCACAGTCGCCGGCAGAGGATCCCTCGCTGCGCCCGGTACCCCGGCCCAGGCCTACGGGCGGGTGGGATGGAGGAGTAGTGTGGGGGAGACTGAGGCCGTGGGGCAGGGCCGGGCCCAGCTGGGGCGTCAATGGGACCAGGGCCTCTCCTCCCAGGGGCCTCCAAGAAGTGCATCCAGGTGGGCGGGGAGTTCTACACTCCCAGCAAGTTGGAGGAGCCTGGCGGCGGCAAGAGCAGGACCCGCGGCGGCAGCCTGAAGCCTCTGGTCCGAGCCAAGGGAGCCCAGGGCACCGTCCCTGTAAGCACTGCCTGGCTGTCCCTGGGGAGACCCGTAACGGCAGCCTGGCCTCAGGACCAGCAGCTCTGCTGGGGTCCGGGGGCAGCTCCCTGAGGGGAACCCGGCACCCGCAGCCACGTGGGCCCCTCCCTGCCCAGGCTGCCCCCACACTGGTGACCCTCTTCCCCACAGGGCGGAGGTGACCCGCGGGTAGGCCAGCAGGGCAGGGTCCCCGCCCCTCCGGCCCTCCCCAGCGAGCCCCAGCTGCACCAGGTAACGCCCAGGCCACAGGAGGACCCCCGCCCACACAGTCCCCCCGCCCCCGCCCGGCGGGGTCCTGCGGCCCTTGCCTTGTCCCGGGCACTCGGGTGGCTCAGCACAGAGGCCTGAGCTCCTGCTTCCGGAGAGCTCTTCCTCCTCTTCTCCTTTTCTTTCATGGATGGGATTTTCTTTCCCGAAAATACACAGTTCGTAGGTCACAGAGTGAGGTCCTCCAGGCTCCAGGTCCAGGCTGTACCGAGCACCCCCACTGGGCCTGCTCTGAGCCGGGACGCCAGGGCCCACCGGGCACGTCGAACTGGACCTGGGTCCCCAGCACCGTTTCTTAGTGAGGTAGAACCGCTGCGCAATGCTCTGCCACCGTCACACAGATCCCAACCCCTCCCGCGGGCGCCCTGCGGGGCTCTGGGCACAGGAGACACAGGGGTCCGGGCAGTCCTTACAGTGAAGGCGATCGTCGCTGTGTGGGGCAGCCAAGCCTGGCAGCCGGGGGCTTCGCGGGAGGTGGCAGGCAGGACCCCTGAGGGTGCAGCCCAGCATCCGGCAAAGGTGCAAGGTGGAGGCCTCAGGTGGAGGGGACTGGGGTGGATGGACGACACCCCTGGGCCAGTCTCCCTGTTGCCCCAGGAGGAAGGGCCACGTGCGGGGGGTGTGCAGTCCAGGGGGGCTGGGACACAGCAGCCCGCGAGAGACTGGGCTTTCTGAAGGCCATTCTTCCCTGGAGGGATGGCCGCGGGGGGCATGACGTGGGGACCAGAGTCTCAGAAGGCGCCCTCGAGGGTAGGCAGTCAGGGCAGAACGCAGGCACCGGCCGGTACGGAGCAGGGCAGGGACGTGGAGTCCAGGTCCCTGGAGCTGCTGCCGGCAGAGCAGGAGGGGGCTCTCGGGGAGTCTGCAAGGGCGTCTCTTGCCTGCGTCAGAAGAACGAGGATGAGTGTGCCGTGTGCCGGGACGGCGGGGAGCTCATCTGTTGTGACGGCTGTCCTCGGGCCTTCCACCTGGCCTGCCTGTCCCCACCGCTCCGGGAGATCCCCAGGTGAGCCTACACGTGGCCCTTCCACTGTGGAACCCCCACCCCCACTCTGGATTCATGGCCGCCTCCACCTACAGCCTGAATGGGAAACCGCCGGAAGTCTCTCCCATCCATGGATGGGGCTATGAGGCCACCGGGAGGGGGCTTTGGTGCAGGTCACTGGGCTGTTGGGGGAACCTGGGGCTCTCCCACCTGCCACCTGCCACCTGGCCTGGCCAGCAGGGCCCCTGAGGGCGGCACAGCAGAACAGAGATCCAAGGCAAAGACGCCGCACTGTCCCAGCTCACTCTGGGCTCCCAGCCCAAACTCCCACAGGCAGCCGCCCCATCCCTGAGCCCCACCCAGAGACCTGCCCCCAGATGGGGCAGGGAGCGTGGAGACCACGGGCTGCACCCCAAGGGCCGGTGGGTGTCTATCCACCAAGGTGCGGGGCCCCCTCTGAGGCTGTCCTGGTGGCTGTCCCCAGCTCCCGCAGGGCGGTCTGTGGGGGAAGACCCCGGCTGGAGCCCAGAGCTCCAGGGGCAGGCCTGGGCTGCGCCCCTGCTCCCTGCGTGACCCTGGCTGGTCCCGTCTCACTCAGATGCCTCATGGCTGCGCAGGTCACTGCCCACTCCTGCGGGCGACTGCCTTCCTTGCGTCCTCTCGCCTCCTGCCTTCGCGGTCTCCCGTTCCCGTGGAGGCGGGCTGGGTGGGGCATACACAGTGCAGCTCAGGGAGGCCCCAGCAGGCCGCTGTGGGTTAGTGGGCGTGGGGCATTCTCGGGCCTCATTAGAGAAGCGCAGCAAGGGGACACCGATGGCACAGGCGAGGGTCCCCCGGGGTACGTATCCCACATCCCGGCTCTCCCTTCACTGTGTCTCTGTTACTTCCCTGCCTGGGCCTCAGTTTCCCCTGTTCTTGGGCCCCCGCCTGTGGGTTTGGGAGCCTGTCATTCCCTCTGTCCCGTCCTGCATGCCTCTGACGGCTGACGACGTGACCAGTGGGACCTGGAGGTGTTCCGGCTGCCTCCACGGAGGAGCCCAGCAGGGCCTGCCCCGCGCACAGGAGCCCCAGCCCCTGGGACCGCCTGTGGAGACCCCGGTATGCCCTGGCCCGCCCCGGCCCGACCATCTTTCCCACCCCTCTGACCCTCGGAGTCCTGCGGGACGGGCCAGCCCCAGTCATACAGCTGTGTCCCACACCCAAGCCTGACGGCCCGGCTCTCTGCAGGCCTGGGAAGTTGCCCTTAGTGACCTCACTTCTCGGCCCTGACTGGGGCCCCTTGGCTCTGTGGGCACAGGGGACAAGTTGTGACCACTGATAATATTCTCCAAAAACGTTTTAAGCTTTCTGCTGCAGCAGAAACGTGAGGGATGCTATTCACAGCCCGGTACATATCCGGTGTCTCCCCTGACAGCACAGGCCCGGCACCTGCTCGTGGCCGGGAAGGATAAAGGCCTGGCAGGGGCGGCAGAGCCGGGCGCTGCTCAGGCCCCTGGGGGATTCCTTGGATGACACCCCCGCCCCACTGTCCCAAGTCCCAGGGTCCCAGCAGCACTGACCCCCAGGTGGTGCTAGGCAGGGCCCCTGTGGCCCCCCTAAGTGCTCCCCCTCGGGATCCAGGTCCCCCTGGGGCTGAGGCCAGCAGGAGAGGAGGCACAGGGCCTGCCCAGGGAGCCCGTGGCCAGCGTGGACGCTGCGCTCACCTATAAGCACCCGCCGGCCCCGCCGTCCGCAGCCCCCCCACCGGCAGTGCTGGAGCCCTCGGCCCTGCACCCCCTGCTGTGTGTGGGTCCCGAGAGGCAGCAGGTGAGTGGGGCGCTGGGGGTCAGGGGTGTTGTCTTTAGAGGGCTCAGGACCTACAGGGCCTGTGGGTGAACCGCAAACAGGAGGAGAGGAGGGCAAGTGGGGAGGGCTGCCCGGAGGACCCTGTGGGGGTGGGGGAGGGGGAGACCCCAGCTCTGGCCCTTGGGCATTGCACCTGGCCTCCCCCTAACAGGGGCAGGACAATACAGCGGGTGGGGATGGCGTGTGCGCGAGCGCCCCACCAGCCCCACCTCATTCCTCCCAGCCCCTTCCTCTTCCTCTGAGGTGACCCCAAAAGGGGTCAGGGCCCACCAGGGGGAGCGAGCCAGGTCCAGGCACCTGGTTTTTGCGGGTGGCCCCTACCCTCCCCGGGCGGGGCTCCAGAACCTCCGGACCCACCGTCCCACCGGCGCCGCGGTCTCTGCGCGGGGACCGCCGTTCCGCCGGGGGTGGCCCGGGGAGGGTGGGAGGGCGCGGGTTCGGTAAGCCGGCCCGCACTCGGGATCACGCCGCTGTCCTCCCCGCAGGGCCCGGCTCCTGCGCGGTGCGGCGTGTGCGGGGACGGTGCGGACGCGCTGCGGTGCGCGCACTGCGCCGCCGCCTTCCACTGGCGCTGCCACTTCCCGGCGGGCGCCGGCCGGCCCGGGTGAGCGAGGGGTTGGGCGGGGCGGCCGGGCGGGAGGGGCGGCCCGTGTCCACCTTCCGACCGACACCGGTTCCTGGCCCCAGGACCAGCCTGCTCTGCAGATCCTGCGCCCGAGACCCGGCCCCCGCCCCCGGGGAGGACGCGCCCGCACCCAGCCCGGCCCCGGGGCCCGCCAAGGTCAGTGCGGGGACTGTCACCGGGCAGGCGGAGCCCGCGGGCTGGGGCGGGGCGGGGGTGGGGCACGTCTCAGGGGAGACCCAGGCTGCAGTGTGCACCATAGCCTCTGACCACGTGCTCATCGTTTTTATAAAGTATTTAACCTTTAAACCCACTCTTTTGTGGTAACTGAAATCTATTTACAAAGGAAGCTCGCCCTAAGCCATAGCGATTACGAAATCTCTGGCGGGGTGCCCGCCGTCCCACCAGTAACGAGGCCGAGTGCAGGGACTCCGGCTCCCTGGGCGGGGTGAGGGACTAGCAGGAGGTGACCGTGGGCCAACCCCTCCTGAGTAACCGCACCCCAAAGCCTCCCTGCTGCAGCCCAGGGGCCCTCTCAGAGAGGCGAGTGACCCCAGGTCCCCGGCAGTAGCTCCTTGCATCGCGACATGCTCTGGTCAGGGAGACGCGTACCTGGGCCCTGTCATGGCAGCTGGAGGGTCAGGCTTGTCCTGGAGCTGAACCTTCCGCCCAGGGCTCACCGTGCAGGAGCCTGGACAGGGTGGTGGCCTCTTGCCCTGACTGCCCGCAGCAGGGGCCTTCCCAACCCCATCCCTGCTCCCCAAGAATCTCTAGGGACCCCAGGGGTGGCAGTAAGTCCCCCCACTGGCTCTTCCTGCCTCCCAGCGGTGCCCCACACTCCCAGGTGCACACAGTGTGGGTGACAGACCCCAGTGTGCAGGCTCTGGCCAGGCACCCGGACAAGCCTTGGACCCAGCGCCACCCACAGGGCTCGTGTGGAACAGTGGCGTGGCCCACACCTGTCACAGTCCCTTCCTTCTAGATGCCTCTCCTCATCCCACCCATTTGCACTGGAAGTTTAGAGTAAAAAGGTGCAGCCCCACTTTGCCCTTTGCCCCTCCCCTGCCTGCCCCCTTCCCCTGGGGTGGTGGCCTGTGGCCCCCAGACCCTGTCCTGAGGGGTCTCCCTGACACCCTCACAGCATCTAGACCTCGGGGACAGCCCCTCCTTCGACCACCCCCGGCCGCTGTGCCCTGCAGGGCCCGTGTTTGGCAGACCCAGTGTGTGCAGCAGCTGAGATTTGGCTGTTTTGAGCTACAAACTGGCTATTTCATGTGATTCAACTTCCTATGGTCTTCTCTGCCCCCATCCCGGGAGCCTGGTGCTCTCTCATTCCCTGCCCTGGCCCCTCACCCAGGGGAATGGCTGGCCTCCACCAGGCACTTTCCTCTCTGAGTCTCCGTCCAGGACGGGGCCCCTCCTTGCTGGTTCCCTGAGTCCTGGGCTTCCCCACAAGGCCACGTGCAGCAGTGGAGGCACCTGGGGGCCGTGGGCAGCCAGCTTCTGGGGTTGGCAGGGCCCCGGGCAGGCAGCCCCCGGCTCACACAGGCCCACACTGCCCCGAGCTGGCCACTTCCAGAGGGAGCTGGTGTTAGAATTCTGTTCTCGGTGGGGGCGGGTGCCCCATGCCCCTGGGCCGTGTTGCTCTGCAGGGGTTCTGCTTCCATGTCCCCAGCGGGGTTGCAGGAATGGGGTTGACCTCTTCCCTTTCCCTGGTTCCAGGATGACTCTGCCGGTCCGGAGCCCGTTCTGCACAGGGAGGACCTGGAGTCGCTCCTGAGCGAGGTGAGGCGTGCCCTGGCGGCAGCTGCCCCTTCCCCCTCCGCCCCTCCGCCCCCACCAGCCCCCACGCGCTGCTGCTCCTGGCTGGCCCTAGGCCCCCCACACCCATGCAGCGGCCCCTGAGAGCTGCTGCACCCACAACGAGCCCTTCCCCCGGGGGCCCGGGCCCTGGGAGGCCGGCGTGGACACTGGGCAGGTGCACCAGGCCCGGCCAGCGTCTGCCGCCCTAGGGCAGTGGGGTGGAGTGTGGGAGGGTGAGTCCCAGAACTTCTGTCCCTGGAGCATCTTGAACACTCCCCAACCCAGGCCTCACCACCCTGAGATGAACAGGCAGAGTGGATGGGAAGAAGATGTGGTTTTAGGGGCTCCGTCTTCTTTGGACAGGAGGACAGACTCCTCCAACCCTTCCCAGACACCAGGTGGCCAACACGAGTCCTCCTCAATGTCTGGCCTGGCACCTCGGGGGTCCCAACTGACCCCGGGGGAGGGCCCTGCCCTGTGCGGAGGGCTCGCATGGCACATCCTGACAGTGGAGGTGTCTAGAGAGACCCCGGTCCTGAGGGAGGGAGAGGGGACCCGGGTGCTGGGTAAGGGTGTCTTGGCTCTGGGAGGGGCAGGCCCCTGGGGACAGTGGGATGGATGAGGGGCTGATGCCCAAGACCCGTGGGGCAGGTGACCTCATGCTGCCGGAATCTTGGCCCCGTATCTCCGAGTCCTGCTGGAGGGTCAGAGCCCTGGGCAGATGAGAGGCATCTGGCCCTACCTCAGCCCGGGAGAGGACACCCAAGGAGGCAGAGCAGCAGGGTGGCTGTGCCCTGGGCTTGCGGGATGCCGTGAAGGAGCACGGGACTGTCCCTCCTGACTGGCATGCCCAGAATCTGGCCTTGGGCCTCAGTTTCCCTATCTTTGAATTAGAGGCTCAGGTTGGATGGTGTCCTCGTGGCCATCTGTGGACGTGGGTGGGTGGCTGGGGCCCGCCTGTCTCCCCGCCGGTGCCGAGTCCCCTTGCCGACTGCCCTGTCCCGCAGCACTCCTTCGACGGCATCCTGCAGTGGGCCATCCAGAGCATGTCCCGCCCGCTGGCCGAGGCGCCCCCGTTCCTGTCCTGATGCAGGATGGCGGGAGGGACAGAGGGGGACACGCTTCCTCACCCCTGGATGCTGGGCCGGATGGGACCAAGGAGAACAGAAAAGCTCAAGCGTTGTCAGTACTTGCCTTGTACGCCGCTCCTGTCTTCCGGCCATCGTGTGCCCTGAAATTAAAATCACTTCTGTGAGCTTGTGTGATGCTCGACAGTGGGGTGTGTTTTTTGTGGGGAGTCTGTACTCCTGTGCCTGAGCGCAGGCTATGCTGGCTGGGCAGGAACTCACTGCGCTGGGAAGGGAAATGCCTGTGAGTATGTCCCCCCTGGGAGGGGGACAGAGCTCCGCCCCCTGCTTCCCACTGCCCCGGAGGGAGGTGCAAGTCCTTGCCGTGGTCCCCTGTGCTATCTGCCCCCACCCCAGCTTCAGCCCCCTCACTGTGCACCCACCCTCCCTCTGCTTCCCAGACAGCCTAGCTCATTCCTGCCCCAAGGCTTTTGCACGGCTGTTCCCTCTGCTCGGGATTCCCTTCCCTTGGTGCTTCATGAGTCTGGCTTCTCATGGTGGAGATCTCAGCTCCAATGTCGCATCCATGTTCATTCATTCATTCGTTCAACAAACCTTTATTGCACATCTATATGCTGAGCATTTTTCCAGGCCTTAGGAGGTCCCAGAGGGACCACCCTGTGGGAGGGAGGGGTCTCATAAACAGGACCTCACACTGGGTAACTGCAAGAAATAGGGTGGGGCCAGATCAGGGCAGGGTGTGCTGGGCTTGCTGGGGACCCCCTTGGAGGAGGAAAGGAGCTGGGGGGACTGGAGCAAGTGGGAAGGCTGGAGCCTTGGGGAGCTAGCGCAGCGAGTCTGCAAGGCAGATGCAAGGTCGTGGGACGGCACCCACCCCAGCCAGATGACGGCCTGTGCACGGGCTTCCTTCCCGGGCACGCCTGTCTTCCTGCGAGCAGCAGCCCCACAGAGCTGGCTGGTCGGTGTCTGAAAGCAGACGGCAGGGCGGTCCTACCTCCCCACGCACAGGGAGCCAGGGCGAGAAGGCACAGATTGAGGTCAGAGGCCTTGGGAGGAGGGGGCGCCACAGGCCTTGCCATGCTTGGGCAGAGCTGGGACACGGGTCCTGTCTCAAGACCTGGGCTTGTCCCCCCCAGAAGGGCTAGGCGGGTTGATAACCAGGGGTAACAACAAGGACTCACTGTCCTGGGCCTCTTGGGGGTCTGGCCGTCTCACGCGACCCTCTCCGGAGACCCCTGGCACCTCTTTGTGGGACTCACAGGCTTCTCAGGCACTGAGCACCAGGTCAGCGTAGAGGCCGCCCTTGCAAGGGACGGGGCAGGCCCACCAGGAACGGCTGGGCTCCAGAGCGCCCCCCGCAGGGGACATGCCCCGTGCCTCCTTGCCGAGCTGTTTGAACAAACAGGCCGGCCCGTGTGGACGCTGGTGCCGCACGGGCGAGGGGGCAGCTGTCCCGGGCTGGGCTGCGCCGTGGACAGACCGGAGCGGAGTGCGGTGCGCCCGGGCACCCCAGCTGGGAGGCTGTGCCACTTTCCTGGATGGGGAGGGAGGGAAGTGGATTCAGAAACATGCTGTCTTAGTCCGTTTTCTGTTGCTTATCACAGAATACCTGAAACTGGGTAATTTATCAGAAAAGGAATTTATTTCTTACGGTTCTGGAAGCTGGGAAGTCCAGGGTTCAGGGGCCCTATCTGGGGAGAGCCTTCCTCCTGGTGGGGACTCTGCAGAGTCCCGAGGGGGCGCAAGGCATGCCACGGTGAGAGGGCCGAGCGGGCTGACTTCCTGTAACGCCCCCAGCCCCACTCCCATGGTAGCCCCTTAATCCAGGAACCCGCTAACGCTGACATCCAGGCCCCGCTGACCTGGGATTCAGGCCTGCCCGCCGGCCGGGTGCTGTGGGCCCTGTTCCCGCTGGCCGAGGTTTCTCCGTGGGATGTGGGGTGGTCACTGATGGGATGGAGGGGCTGGAGCTTGCAGAAACCACCCCTCTTCAGAAGCCACTGGGGGTGACATGGTGGGGACGGTGGCATCACGGTGTGTCGGGAGCTTTGCAGGATGAGTGCAGATGCCACGGACATCCTGCCCAGTGGTGTCCACACCTCCCCCACGGCCTTCTGCCCCGCCAAATACACCTGGCCAGGAGCTTCTCTGGGCCTGGTTCCCTGGCAGGGCCCCACCTTCCTCAGCCCAGTGTGGTGCTGGCACCGTGGGGTCTCACCGTGGGGCCTGGGGACCCAGCTTTGCCAGAGTCCCTCTACAGACAGGTCCACACGGACCCTTCCCCCCCAGCACCCCGCTCATGGGGCCCTGGAGGCTCCTACTGCGCTCACGCCTTTGTCCTCAAACTCAGGGCCACTGCTCTACGGGACTTGAGCCCTGCCCTCCCTTAACCCAGCACAGGGGCTCTGGGGCGGGCCGGGCTCCTCCGCCAGGTGCAGCTCAGTTAGAGACAGCAGGATTCTGCCCTGGGTGTGGGGTGGGAGGCACATAGGACGACCGGAGACCCCAGACCCTTTATGGACTTCCGGCACTCACTGCAGCCTTGCCCTGCTTGCAGTAAGCGTCGTTCCTTCTGCAACCGTGCTCATTTGGCCTTTACACGAGTAATAAAAACGGGCGGAAGAGTGACGGCCGCTAAGGTGGGCTGGCGCCCTGTGGGCCACACCCAAGGTCCCCACTTGCCTGTGCGTGGCTGCCTTTCCGCGGCGGGGGCGGAAGTTTGTCTTGGGCCTCCCGCACCTGCGGCGAGGTCTGCCCAGTGTGAACTCAAATAAAATTTTAAGGCTCACCCGCCCCCATTGGCTGACTAAATGGACCCCCTCGTGGCCAAAGGAATACCCTAAAACTAAATTGTCTGCCAGGAGGAGGGAGGTCAGACATGCCTTATCATGTCCCCCTCCCTTCTCGGTGACATCCTTTGTAACCCATTAACAGATCTAAGGGTATGCAAGACACACCTGCAGGTCCTCAATTTACACAACAAATCTATGTCCAGTGGCTTGTCTCTGATAAAGAGCTCCTTACGTTGAAACATGCCAAGTCTCTAGACAAAGCTTCATGTCTTTAACCAATGACAGGCCAAAGAATCTTTTAACCCACCTATAACCTGTAAGCCCCCGCTTCGAGATGGCACACCGTTTCGGGCCAAACCAATGTATGCCTCTCACGTGTTGATTTATGACTTCACCTGTAACCCCTGTCTGCCTAAAATGTATAAAACCAACTGCAACCCAACCTCAGCGAGTCCACTTGCTCAGGGCTTCTTGGGCGTGGCTCCGGGTCATGGTCCTCAAATTTGGCTCAGAGTAAATCTCTTTAAAGTTACTTTATAGACTTTGGTCTTTTTTTTCCGTTGACACCAGGTAACAGAGCCTGGCGTTTGCCAGCTGCGGGTGAGCACTCGCGGGGATGGCCACTGTTTCCTGTAGCGCTCCCAGGCGGCGGGGTGGGCTACGAAACCTGGGCTGCCTGACAAGGAGCTGCAGACCAGGCGGCTGAACGGCAGACATTTATTTTGTCACAGTTCAGAGGCGGGAAGTCCAAGGTCAGGGAGTGGCAGGGCTGGTTCCTCTGAGGCCTCTGTCCTTGGCGTGTAAACGGCGTGTCCTCCCTGTGTCCCCACAGGGTCATCCCTCTGTGCGTGTCTGTGTCCTCAGCCCCTCTAAGGACACCAGTCAGACTGGGTCAGGGCCACCCTGACACTGCCGTCTTATCTCAATCACCTCGTTAAAGGCCTGCCTCCAAATCCAGTCGCATCCGAGCCACTCGGGGAGGACAGAGGCGCTGGTGCCCGCTGGCTCAGGCTCCCCGAGTCCTCTTCCGGCCTTGGCCCACCGAGTCCAGTCCTGTGGGGTCAGGCTGGAGAGGAGCCCACACCTGGTGTCCGATGGCCACGGAGAGCTGATCAGAGGCCTCGTCCCCCACCTGGGGAGCCCGCGCCCGGGGCCTGCCCTCAGCGACAGTCTGTCAAGAGGGTTTAGCTGGAATCTCCCACCACGCCTGGTCCCAGGATCTGCACCCGCCCAGCCCGCCCTGCTCCCAGGGTTCATCCGCTGTGCGTGGCGCCTTCGGGGCGGGGCCGTCTGTCCCCTCCGCTGCAGAGCCCGTGGCAGTGGGCCCTCCGGAATCTTCCTGGCTGTCTCCACCACGTGTGGGAATGGCTTCTGTCTAACACCATGACACCCACAGCGACTCTGGATCTGTGCGAGGCGGGCCGTGGCCTGGTTATGTGCTCGGCTGGAATTCATGAACAGAGAGACCCGGATTTCGCTGGGCGCCGGGCCCACAGCCGTGCCCGGGGGTGCCTGTGGGCGGGGGGCCCCGCCGTTCAGGGTCAGGGTCACTCTGTGTGAGGAACAGGCAGGCGAAGCATCTGGTGGGCACAGAAAAAGTCAGTGTTGCTGCAGTGATCAGACTCGAGGTAGCAAGTAAGGCTGGAACGCTCGGCCGGAACCTCGACTGGATTAAAGGCAGAGCTCACAGCCCCCCTGTGACTGGAGCACTCAGCTGTCAACCCCGCTGCTCTGAGGACGGTTGAAAGACGCCTGAGCTCTGTGCTGTGCATTCCCGGGGATCCTGGGACTTGCAGCGGCCGCCCCCGCCACTTCTCGGGAGGGCCGGCTGGCACCTGCAGTAGGGGCTGTCCTTGAGGGCCTCAGGGACTCAGTGGCAGGGACCAGGCCCCCCGGGAGGCTCACTCCCTAGCCACCGGCAGCTCGTCCTACAACAACTTCCCCCGCCCTGGCTGTCAGCTGCCGTCGTAAAGTATTAATAGAACCAACTTTTCCAAAACGGAAGAGCTTAACCCAGCCTGGGGAAGGCCCTCCCGAACCCCACCCTAGAGAAACACCTGACAGAGGAACGCCCGTTCTCATGTGGAATGATGGCCACCCCCGACCCTCGGGCGAGCCGCCCTGGGCTTTGCTCACATGCCCTGCACGCCCCCGTGCCCTGCATGCCCCCGTGCACAAGCTCGTGACGGCCACCTGTTGTCTTTCCCT